TTAACATCCATCTACTGTTGCATACTTATATATCCATTTATATACAATGTAGAATTCCATTTCATATATTTTGCCCCCATATTACAAAACTGAATTTATGGTTGCCATATTTTAATAAGCTTATCTTGGACAACCTGTTTCCTCTCTCATATTTGCTTATATGCTTTAATTTTCTCCATTCATTTAATAAACCATAACTTCCACAGACACCGTTCTTTGTAAGGTATTGTGCTGTTATAAGTAGGTTTATTATGAGGGTATAAGTAGATTTATTACTAAGTAAATAGATTTTAACTCTTTTTTATAATAATAGCAAAAAAGGGAAACTTCAGAGATGCATAGGTTTTTCTCCTCTACAACCTTAAAGCAGGGGTGTCAAACATGCAGCCTCGGGGCCGGATCAGGCCTCTGAAGGGCTTCTATCAGGCCCACAGTGGAATTGGCTGTCTTCTGATTCTTCTTCCAGTTCTGCTGCTGCTGCATCATCGTAGGTTTGCAGCTTACAGATACACACCTGAACAGCATACTCAAGATTGCAACAGCACAGACATTTTAATGTAATAATTCAGAGCAAGAGGTGTCAGTTATCAGACGCTGTTAAATAAACAAAATATTGCAAGAGTGCTAATGTTTTAAGCATGTTTTTATTTTAAGTAAAAAAAACCTTTGTGTTTGTGTCCTTTTATAAAGTTTATATCTCCGCTACTTGGCATTACATTTTATGACACACATGGCCAGTGTTCCCTCTAAACTGAGTTAGTGTGAGCTAGCTCACAGTTTTTTAGCCTCCGGCTCACACATTTTTGTCTCAGCTCAGGAAGGATGGCTCCAGAGCAAACTAATTTCTGCAGTAGCCAAATCACTGGCTCACAACTTTAATGTCAGTAGCTCACAAAGTAGAATTTTTGCTCACAAGACTCCACAGCTTAGAGGGAACATTGCACGTGGCCTGGCCCAACAAGGTCTCATTTATGTCAGATCCGGCCCTCATCACAAATGAGTTTGACACCCCTGCCTTAAAGTTTTCACACCAAAAGTTCTTTTTTCTTTTTCTTTTTTTAAGCCCCCGGAGGGGATTTTTTATTGCATTTTCTATAAACTACAATGAAAAAAAGGAAAGGGAAAACTACATCTATGGGAGAAAGGAAAGAAAACCAAACTAAAAACCCAAGAATAGGAGATAATTACAATAGCTTGTGTCAGTGTTAATCTGTTTTTCTGCCTTCCCACCTCATCATTCTTTCTCTTTCTGCCCCCCACCCCATCAGTCTCACTTTCTGCCTCCATCACTCTCCCAGTAAAGAAAATCACAAGAGCATCATTAATATCTTTAAGGCCTTAAGGCACAACTCAGAGTTCTTCAGCCTTCATTTTGTTTTATCTTTTCTAATCCTTAATTGATATTCTCGCTTAGGGGCCACACCAAAAGTTCTTAAACATTGGGCACTGCCACCAGATATGAAAAAGGAAACTGTTTTTTTGCATCGTCAGAAAATTGTGAGGCTATTGCCTTGCAATGAATGAGAGAAGGCAGAGAGGGGGAAGGGGGTGCCAAATACAATGGTAACCATTGCTGTCCTCAACCAAAGCCTGGTGGAACATCTCTGCCTTGCACACCCTGCAGAACTGCTCAAGGTCCCACAGGGCGCGGATGTTATTTGGCAGAGAGTTCCACCAAGTAGGAGTCAAGGTGAAAAAGCCCTGGCTCTGGTCGAGGACAGCTGGACATCTTTGGGGCATGGGACTACCAGTAAGTTGTTCTCAGCAGAGTATAAAGCTCTTTGAGGGACATACCAAAGGAGGCAGTCTCAGAGATACATGGGCCCCTGACCACTCAAGGCCTTAAAAGTCAGTACCATAACCTTTAACCTTTGAGAGTAATACACCATTTGAGATTAATACACCATGTAATAACTTTCCTTTCTAAGATAAATATGGTATTATTTTCTGTTATATCCTTACTGACATCCCAGGTTGTACACTGTCTTAACAAACATGGGGAAACAGTTCCAGGTGGGCAGCCGTGTTGGTCTGAAGCAGTAGAACAAAGTTTGAGTCCAGTGGCACCTTTAAGACCAATAAATTTTCATTCCACAATTAAGAAGGACAAGTGGAGACCCACAAGAAACATGTGGGATGGTTATCCCATTCCTCACACCTTTGTTTCCTCCCCTCTCCCCCTACCTGTCTCACACTTTTTCTCCCTTCTGTTCCCCCTTTTCTTACTCTCTCCTCCATGCATGTTACTTCCTCTATCTTTCTGACCCGTCATCATTCTCTTTGTTTTTCTGCCTTCCCACCTCATCACTCTTTCTCTTTCTGCCCCCCACCCCATCAGTCTCACTTTCTGCCTCCATCACTCTCCCAGCCTCCTGCCTGCTTCCTCCCCCACCCCACACAGCAGCAGCAGTGGTGATGGCAGTGTTCCCAGCCAGCCACCTGCTTCCTCTCCCCCCACAGCAGCACTGGCAACTCTCCGGAAATCACAACAGATCTCCCAGCTACAGATCAATTCACCTTAGGGCTGCCAACTCCAGGTTGGGAAATTCCTGGAGATTTGGGGGTGGAGCCTTGGGACAGTGAGGTTTGGGGAAGCAAGCAGCCTCAGCAGGATTTAATGTCATAGACTCAACCCTCCAAAGCAGCTATTTTATCCAGGGTAATTGATCTCTGTCATCTGGACAACAGTTGTCATTCTGGGTGATCTCCAGCCCTCACCTGGAGGCTGGCAATGGTAGTTCTTGTGAAGGAAATGGCTGGTTTGGAGGGTGGAATCTATGGCATTATTAGGGCTGCCAAGTCCCCCTGGGGGGCGTATTCCCCCCCGCTTTGGAGGCCCGATTTCCGCCGCCGCGGAATCGGGCCCCAGGGGAAACCCCACCCCGGCGTGCACGTCACCCAGAGGTGACGTGATGACACCAGGCACGCTGGGGGCGGGGCCATAGCCATCTGAGGGGAAAACTCTATGTTTTCTATGTTTCTGAGGGGAAAACTCTATGTCAAGATGCCGTCCGGGAGCCCCCCGCTACGGAGCAAAACCCTACCCCAACACACTATTTTGGCCCTCCCTTCATTCTAGAAGATCCAGCTGTGATCGGTCAGCAACAGAGCTCCTTCAGCCCCTCCCCCCAGCTATATGCCATATCCTTCCCTTTTAGCTTTCCAAACAGCTTGTAAAACTTGTTTTTTTGACAATGGTTACAGGAATAAGGAATTCTGAAAAACTAAATGTTAAAATATATTTTTTTAAAAAAAATGTTTTAAAAGTATCCTAATCTGGAAGCGGGACTCAAACTTAGTCCTCCCATCTGTCTGTTCACTTTTGTAGTTCTATGCTACTTTGCTGCTATTTACAGAGGTAATGAAACTGAAGCTCAAATACTTTGGCCACCAAATGTGAAGGGAGCACTCACTGGAGAAGATCCTGATGCTGGGAAAGATTGAAGGTCAAAGAAGACGGGGACGGCAAAGGATGAGATGGTTAGACAGTGTCATAGATGCAACAACCATGAAGTTGAGCCAACTTCAGAGGACGGCGGAAGACAGGAGGGCCTGGCGGGAGCTGGTCCATGCTTATCTCCAGACTACAGAGATAATCTCCCATCGAGAAAATGGATGCTTTGGAGGGTGGAATCTATGGCATTGTACCTTCCCAGGATCCCACCTCCAAATCTCTAGGAGTTTCCCAACCTGGATCGGGCAACCTTACCCCCCGCCATCCCCTGACGGTGGCCAGGGGGAACATGGCAAGCCTAGACTGCTGCCAGGCCTAGGGCTGCCAACCTCCAAGTGGGACCTGGAGACTGAACTGTAGACAGCAGAGATCTGTCCCCCTGGAGAAAATGGCTGCTTTGGAGGGTGGACTCTCTGTGTTATTATACTCAGCTGAGGCCTCTCCCTCAGCCTGGTACTGGCAACCCTTGTCAGGCCTGGCCCCAAGGCTCCCTTTTACTGACAGAGCCAGTTATAGGCCTCTTCCCCCTCCCCCGAATATTCTAATCTCTCACTGTTGATGTCTGAAGTAGATCCCTGCAGAGGCCATTTCAAAAGTTTTTTGGGGGAATTCAACTCCCTTTAGGTTATTGGATTTTTCTGCAGCCTCAGAAAGTCTCCCAAGTCTGTAGAAAAAGCTGTTGGGAGAAAGTGAGCCCTCTGTTGGTGAAAATAAGTATCCACGGTGGGGAAGCTTGGCTATTAGGTATATAGATATGTGTACAATATCAGTCTCCTATTTTGACCGATCTATGTATTTTCCCTAATTAAATCCCAACAAATGGTGACCATATAAACTTAGCTTGTTTTTCTTGTTTGGTCTTTGCATCTGTTAAAACATCTAAATTATGTTGTATGCTAATTTGGTGTTCAACCTCTGTCTAGACGTATGGACTGGTAAGTTCCATTTCAATGTATCTGAGGAAGTGTGCGTGCACATGAAAGCTCATACCTTGCATAAAACTTTGTTGATCTTAAAGGTGCCCCACTTTGTTCTGCGTGGGGAAACAGTGGCACATTTGGGCAATAATGGGAGATTAAGCTCTGCAGTAAGCAGTTTTTAAGGGTGTATATAATTAGGGACAAACTAGATGACATCTAGATGAGATCTGTGGCCACTCTATCTTTAGCATTTAACTTTAAAAAACAACTTCAGAGAAAAGCAGGATCAGGGTTGGGAAGTGGAAGCATAAAGGCATCCGGATGAGAGATGATGCCTTCTCAAGGCTACCTAGTGAGCTTCATCAGTGAGTGCATACAGAGCTTTGAGTGTCAGGGTACTAACTGTACCGTGCTGACTTTTAAGCACTTAGGAATTAATTTTCATTTGGATCTCAGGGAAGCTTTAGAGTTCACTATTGATTAGTTTAGAAAATGTCATTAAAATTGGCAATTAAAATATGAGAATTGCAAGATTTTTCTCCCTAGGTATCACAGACTATAATCTATTTCTTTAAACTGTTTAATTGACAACTGGTCTTCTTTCTTCCCTCTTTTTTCATTTATAGGAACAAGAATGGTGAGCCCTGCATCTTTAAGAAAATTGCTGGAGTCTTGTAAAGATCTTTCCTTACTTGACGTGTCCTTCTGTTCACAAATTGATAATAGAGTTGTCCTAGAACTGAATGCCAACTTTCCTAATGTGTTCATCAAAAAGAGTTTCACTCAGTGACTCAGTTCTTCTGCTGCTTTATGGAACTGATTTGACACAAATTCTGTTTCTTGTGAATTTTTTGACGATTTTCAAAGGAAAAAGTCTCCTTGGAATAATAGGGAAAAGTGAATTCAGCTTGATGTGAAAGCTAAATATGGAATCAAAGATTTAAATTGTGATGGGGACAGCCATTATTCTTTGTACTGTATCCAGTTACTATACTGGGTAAGTGACATGACGTTTTGAAGTGGGAAGAATAATGTAAGATGGCATACATTTAAATGCCTGATAAAGAGTATTTGATACAATAAGCTATTTGAATGTTAGGATCAAACTTGTAATACTGACTAATAGAGAAATAAAAGGTGACTTTTTATTTTTATTTCTTTTTTAGTCTTAGCCTTTAAGGTGCAAATTTGTGGTTTAGACACCACAAAGCTGAAAAGTCGTTGGGATTTTACAAGTGCAAACAAGAAAACGCTTCTAATATTTTAACAGCAAAGTGAGCCAGTCTTTGGATACTTAAATCTGGTGATTGGAGCTGTGAATGGGCAAGACAGATCTTTCTACAAGGTTTGCAGAAAATGTGATATCTAAAAAAAAAATGGCGGGGTTAAAAAGCTGAAAATGATAAAAGGAGAACCCGTAGCTTTAATTTCTAGAGATTTTGTGGTAGAGTCTAAGGAAGGCAGGGTATGGGGAGGGCAAAGGCCTCTGCTGGATATTATGCCATATATTCAAGGCTCCCTCTAAGCTGTGGAATCTTGTGAGCAAGAATTCTACCTTGTGAGCTACTGGCATTAAAGTTGTGAGCAAGCGACTTGGCTACTGCATCAATTAGTTTGCTCTGGAGCCATCCTTCCTGAGGTAAGACAAAAATGTGTGAGTTGAAGGCTACAAAATTGTGAGCTAGCTCACACTAACTCAGCTTAGAGGGAACACTGCATATATTCCACCTCCAAAGCAGTCATTTTCTCTTGGAGGACAGATCTCTGCTGTCTGGAGTTCAGATGTAATTCTGGGAGATCTCCAGGTCCCACTTGAAGGTTGGAAACCGTGGGCCTGGGAGCAACATTTGGTGACTTGATATCACCTGACTTGCATGACTGAAGTAGGCCTGGCTGCCAGCTAGAGCTCAACAGTACCCTCTCTATGAAAGCCAGTGTGGTGTAGTGATTAGAGCTTCAGAGTAGGGTCTGTGAAACACAGGTTTGAATCCCCAACTTGCTGCAGAAGCTCACTGGGTGATTTTGGACCAGTCATATACTTCCAGCCTAACCTAACTCACAGGGTTGTTGTGTGGATAAAAAAGAGGAAATATTGTAAGCTGATTTGGTCCCCACTGTGGAAAAGGGTGGGATATAAATGAAGTAAATAATCAGTATAGCTGAAGATGGGAGGCAGTTAAAAGCTAGGTTGATGAATGGCTGAGAAGGAGAGAATGAGGCAGGGAAAGGGGAGAGGATAGGGGGGTTTCCCACAGGAGGGGGAAAAGGACATAGTGTGGGGATGGGGATACAGGGGAAGATGAGGTGCCACCTCACAAGTCCTTGAGCGTTCTCACCCATGCAAGTAGACCTAGGTCAGTGGCTGGCACCACACAACTGGGACTAGGTTTTCCTAGGCAGAGGCTGCTGGGGGAAGTTTAAGACAGAAGGGCAGATAAAGGTAGGTAGGCTGTTGGGTGGGAAGGAAATAAAGTTGCTAACTCCAGGTTATGAAATTTCTAGAGATTTGGGGGGTATCCTGGGGAGTGTGGGGTTTGGTGAGAGAAGGGATCTCAGAGGGGTATAATATCACAGATGCCACCCTCCAAAGCAGCTGTTTCCTCCAGGGGAACTAGGGTTGCCAGCCTCCAGGTGGGAGCTGGAGATCACCTGGAATAACAGCTGTTTTCCAGATTAAAGAGATCAGTTCCTCTGAAGAAAATGGCTGCTTTGAAGGGTGGACTCTATGGCATTATACCTTGCTGAGGTCGCTTCTTTCCCCAAACCTCACCATCCCAAGGCTCCGCCCCTAAATCTCCAGGAATTTTCCAACCTGGAGCTGGAAACCCTAATGGAGGAACTGATTTCTGTAGCTGGGATATCTGTTATGATTCCAGGACATCTTCAGGACCAACCTGGAGGTAGGTAACCCTAGAAAGAGAAAAGGAAGCAGGAAAAGGGAAGAGGCTGTGGGCTTTCAGGAAAGAGAAAGAAGAAACAGTGGGGGAGGGCAAAATGAAATGCTTTCTGCAAGTCCTTGCGGGTTCCCACTTGTTTCTTTCTATTAACAGCATAAGTCCTTTAAAATTGATATGCATGATAGGCAGCTAAGTATTTATTGGTCATCCTAAATATAAAATTCTACCACAGCATATTATAATCAAAGACAGAATATTTTGTAAGGCCAAAAACGACAGTTGTTCTGTTTCCAATGGTTATAAGTAATAATGTAAAATGAGTGACATGATATCACTGCTATCGGAGTATTTATGATCCCATTCTCTTTCATTGTTTATTATTTTTGAGATAAAAGACCTCTCAGCACAGCAGTAGCACATGACAGATGGAGCATTATTTGAAGTCAGTGGAGAAGAGAGGTCTCAACTACATGTGTTATTGGGAGTTCCACAGACAAACTCCCAGCATTTTTTTATTTTGAAAAATCATGTAAGCAGACCCCAGTCTGGATTTATGGAGAAGGATTTAAGCCTCCCTCCATGTCATTTTCCCAACCTGAAAAGGTCCCAGGGAGTCACTGTTTGCAGTGCATGGGTGTGGCAGGGCTGGGTAGCTACATACTGCAGCCCGTAGCATGGCTGAAAGAGAAAGGGTGTCCAAACAGCTCTGAGAAACCTGCTCAGGAAAGGTAAGGCAAGCCCCAGGTGGAAGGAATAGCATCCTTTCTTTTTTATCAATCTGGTGTGGTGAGGAGAGATATAATGCATACAGGTTGCCTGCACTGTAGAGTGTTCTTTAAGACAGCAAGAGCTGACTGTCCTGGAGCCAGCAGCAATTAGCAGCAGCTGGGAATAGGTAGGGCAGCAGGTCAGCCAAGCCAGGGTGCTCATTAAGGCAAGGCTTAAAAGCAGCAGCCAGAGGCTGGTGAGGAGTGGCTGATGGAGTAACAAGGGGAACAGAAAGGCTGCTGTCAACTACTTACTTGCACTGTCTGTATGGAGGTCTGAATAAATGACTGACAGAACTGACTAGAGAGTCTAGCATGTACTTGGGGGAATGGGACCAATAGACTTTAATATTTGGGGAGTGTACTATCATAATGTCTCAAATTGTTCAAAAGCAAGTTTCTTTTACATTAAAGAAGAGATTAGTAAATTAAACCTTTAAATTGCAAGTGAAAACTTGGTCTTCAAATAATCAGTAGTTTGTTAACAAGCAAACATTCTTGAATTCTTAAAGAACACCCTACAATGCAGGCAACCTGTATGCATTATATTTCTCTTCACCACACCAGATTGATAAAAAAGAAAGGATGCTTTTTTTGCCACTATGTATCTAAAGGATGAACAAAGAAAATTTCCCCTTTGTGGATTACAGTGAATGTTTATTTGGATCATCTGCATTAGTACTGAATTGTGAGCCTATCAGTTAAAAAAAACCGGTGTCGTTGCAAAATGGAATATTCATTGTGAGACCACACTTGGAATATTCTGGTCACCGCACCTGAAAAAGGATGTTGTAGAGCTTGAAAAGGTGGGAAAAAGAGAAACCAAAATGATCATGGGGCTAGAGTAGCTGTCCTATGAGAATCAGTTAAAACGCTTAAGGCTGTCAAGCCTGGAAAAAATGCAAGTAAGGGGAGACATGACAAGAGATATATACAATTATGCATGGTGTGGAGAGGGCAGACAGGGAGAAACTTTTCTCCCCTCTCCCATAATACTAGAACCTGGGGTCATCCACTGAAGCTGAAAGGTGGGAGATTCAGGACAGAAAAAAAGGAAGCATTTCTTTACACAGCATATAGTTAATTTGTGGAACTCTCTGCCACAGGATGTAGTCATGGCCACCAACTTGGAAGGCTTTAAAAGGGGGGGTGGACAAATTCATGGAGGACTGGGCTATCAATGGCTACTAATCATGATCGATGTCTACTTCCTCCAGTACCAGAGGTACCTGTTAGAATCAGTTGCAGGGGAGCAGAGGCAGGATGTTGTTGTTGCAGTCTTCCTGTTTGTGGGCTTCCTAGAGGTAGTTGGTTGGCCACTGTGTGTACAGAACTCTGGATTAGATAGGCCTTTGGTCTGATCCAGCATGGCTCTTCTTATGTTCAAATTCTTTAGTGAATTTTTAAAAATTAAACTCTCACCTTTTTAAATTACTGCTGAAGAGATACCTCTTGTTCACTGAACTGTATTGTTCATCAGAGCCCTTTGTGAGCCAAGCCCAAACCTCCATTGAAATTTTGGACTAGTCAGCAAACCTCTCCATTTCCCCAGTTACTCCTGCAGTGTGGATGGGATGGTGTCACTGAAACCTCACAACATGAAGACATAAATTTTAAGGCAACTACAACCAAAAACTTGAGCCAAGAGCAATTAAAAGCTATAGGTCCCAGTGGCATTGGCTCATGCTCAGGTGCTTCCATTGCTGCCTGGAAGCCTGGGAATTTCACAGACAAGTCATTACTAACTCCTTGCTTTTGTTCTCCTCCCACCACCCCAACAGGGTAAGTTTGAGAAGGGGGAAGTTGTGAAGATGGAGAGCTTGAGGCAATGTTCCCTCTAAGCTGTGGAGTCTTGTGAGCAAAAATTCTCCTTTGTGAGCTGCCGGCATGAAAGTTGTGAGCGAGCGATTTGGCTGCTGCATAAGTTAGTTTGCTCTCCAGCCCTCCTTCCTGAGCGAAGACAAAAATGTGTGAGCCGGAGGCTAACAAACTGTGAGCTAGCTCACACTAACTCAGCTTAGAAGGAACACTGGCTTGAGGTCTTCTTTCTTACAGGAAGTGCAAACGACATAGTTCTGAAATGAGTTAGAAGTTCAGTCATCACAAGTTGTCAGTCCAACTTCTAATAAAACTGCTATCCTATAAAACCATTTCTGTAGATACTATACTATAATCACTTTGGACTGGATGCATAGATTCCAGATTTTAAATTATTAATCAAATAGAGAAAAATATGTATAACCAACACTAATGTTGTTGTTTTCAAACAGCCTTTGTATTCTTTTTTAGTAACTGATTGCTAATGATTTTTTTCTGTAATTTCAGCCAGGCCTATTTTAGTAACCGTCTGCTAG